CGAATCGGATCGAGCCTCAAGAGACGACTGTAGGCCTATAACCCAAGTTTTGTTTTGGGTGCAAACCCAAGCCACTGACTACCCATGACGAATTATTTTCCCCACAAAGCCCACAAGGAATAATTGGGTTTTTGTGCCGATTGGATCAAACGGTTTAGCCGCCCATTTAAATGCTCATGTTTTACATTTCTCTCTCTTCAAACTTTAATTTATCAGGGAACATGAAAAAGAGAGAGATAACGAAGTCTTGGACCCCTCTTGCAGCCGTAAGGGAAACAGAGCCACCCCAGAGGATGACAAAAATCTAGTTTGAATGGTGGTTATAGGCCTGAAATACCAAGATGCTTTGGAGGATTGTGATAAAGATTATTTAAATTCTTCGCCCATAACCGATTCAATCAAGTACATTTAAATACATCCAAAAACTCTGATAAAACAATCGATTTTATTTTATTTTATTTTATAAGGCAATAGTAGTATTAATAGATGGTAGGGACGGGTATGGGCTATAATACAAACATAACAAGACAAAAAATTCCTACGGATTGAAAGTGATGTAACCCTGTTGATTATGTCTTGTCAGTTGTAAAATCAATCAAAGAGGGGAAGACAAAAGCATTAGCAACCTAAACTGTTCATCAATCAGTTTATGTTTTCTGTTAATATGCCTTGATGAACCATGATTCTGTTAGAATTCCTAGAATGCCGAGGCAAGGAACACGAAATGCTGCCGGCAGAAACCCAATTTTGATTGTAAATGATTTGCAGATAAATGTGCACGCTACTTATATCTCCAGGGAGAGCAGAACAAAAACAGAGTATATATAGGCCCGAGGCGGATAGCTTTAGATGCAGTGTTAGTTTAATGGATGGTGTTTGCATTTTCAAAATCAAATTTAAAGGAAAACACCAAAAGATTGACTTTCTTTCACAAAAAAAAGATTTATCTTATTCAAATTAAAAGCAAAACAAAAACAAGAAAAGTACAGCTATGTTCGTATGCAGAATGACTCAACCAGGCATCATTTGATTCTGATGAAGGTTCGCAAGAAAAAACAATGAACATGTAATTTGATAATAATATCCTAATGTCTTCGATAACTTATTCAATTATTTTTTAACGGTAATTGATAATGAGAAAAACATATGTACGACACTAAGAGTGCATAATTGGTTATGTGAATGATAAATATTGTAGCGTGGGAGGGGGAAAAGGACTAGCAAAATGCAATTGTGGGTTGGGGTTTGAGTCTTCTTGGACATCTCAAGATCCATTTCGAATCAAAAAATGGAGAAAGGCCATGGCGCCTGGAGGCCTTTCGTACACTAAATTGGGGCCTAAAGGCCTGAAACGGCAGGTGGATTTCAATATTCCTCGGTTGTGATCAGGGCATAATTAAATCAGGTCCCGAAATTTAACAGGATTTCATTTTATTCAATCGGTTCTTAATTATCATTTATGGCTTATCTCCATGATTTTTTTTTTATGTTGATTCAATCATTTCCACGCAATAGCCTTTGCCGTTTAACTCTCTAAATCCTGGAAGTAGATCAATGATCGAACTCAAATTCAGGATTACTTTAGCGATGGGTAGTGTCCTGGTGGATCAGTATGGCCACTAACTTCTATTACAGGGATCATTTATCTCAGACACATCACGTTCTATGATTATGTTATCTGTTAGCATTAAAGCTGCTTGTCTGTGGGTAATGTATCTACTGTTTAATATAGGACTCTGCTGTCAATGTTGCCGTCCCCTGATCGATCCATATCAAGAAACAAGGTTCGTTCTCTCGTCTCTGATATGTTTCGTCATTTTTATGTAATTCATCAAACAGTAAGAAAGTGAAACTTCATCCGTAGCTAGAAGACATGCTGTTCCTGAAGCTCATTGCCTCGTATAATTACTACACGGTTGTACCAAATTGCTGACTTTCCTGTTGAGCTGTGAAATTTGGCAGTTAATTATTGGTTTGTGATTTATTTTTTGTAACACCAAAGCTACTAGGATTTACTTTCTTTTTACTTTCCAAGTTATTTTCAAGAAGATGACTCCAAAACTTACAACGTCATCCTTCTGGATTATGTTGCTCCCATCTTTTTGCAGTATCACGTAAAAAGGGGTAGAAAAAATACTGATTCACATGTGTTCGTACAGGCAGCTAATTAAAATGATACAGTATATATCAGGTACATAAAATCACAGTAACCCCATCGTTGCTTATTTGCTGCCATGGTTCTATGATGGCAGAATGTTGATTGGATTTGATTTTCTTGATCTAAAGTTTTATGGTGGAAGCCATGAGTAATGGGAGGTGAGTGAGGCAGATGAAGACATTGATCCTGGTCTGTTTTCTGTTCTTGTGAACTTGGGGGAAACTCTTGTAGGCTATGAATTAACTCGACTTTCTTTAGGAATCCATTCTAAACTTCTTCCTGTAAGCATATATCCAGCTCTTTCCTGTGTTCCTTAGAATTAAAAACCAATCTTTAGATACATGTATCACTGCGGCCTAATGCAGATAAACGTGAATCAATGTACTGTAGTATAATCTGACAAGTGACAATCAAGGGAAAGTTCTAGGACATAGCAACATCCTTTTGTCATTTATGCACGATTCGAGCTCAGTAGTGGTGGCAATGTGTTTGGAAGTGAATTCTGGACCGTAGAAGAAGGTTTTGCAATTCTGCTGCTACTGCTAATGCTATCACGTGGCAGAAGTCAGTAGGACTAGCAGACAATAGTTATGTACTATAAGCAAGCACGTTTCAGAAGAAAAGTACCATAGGCTAACGGTGTGCTTGTATATCTAAACAGACTAACAGTGTACGTACGCTGGTTTATTTGAGTTCCATGATAATGCCATCCAAAAAATGAGTCCACCACAGAAAAACAGCGGGATCCACGTTATATAAATGATGTTGGGAATTATAGAAGGAGTTGAGAGGATCACAGGTCAGTTTCAAAGCAAGATTCACGATACCCTGCACAACGACAATTTGCTTCAAATTTTCAGCAGCTGAAGTGAGTTTTGATTAACGGTACCCCGACACAAAGGCTAAAAGTTGGTTTGTCGTTACTCGTTGGAATCTTCATTGCGGTTTCCGTGGATGCCCCGTGGAGGGGCGAACGATGTAACCCAACCACCCAAGTGGTCCGAAAGTGGCTAATTGGATTTTGTAATATTTATCCTGATTCCTGCATCAGTCATCACAAATTTCTTTCAATTGTTTTTATTCATGTTTCTGTGACCCGTGACTTAGCCTGGATTTCCTCCGGCTGCCTAAGGCCTACACAGGCAATAATTTGGAACTTTTAGATTGGCTGCGGTGAAGAGGTTGCTCTACGTTTCTTGACGATCCCAACTATTGCATAACACTGTCAATTCTATATGATTTTGTACGAAACAGTGATCAAACCCCGTCACCATCCTCTACGGTTAGAAGAAGAGGAGGGATAACTTTGTTGTCTAATATAGCATTAGGTAGGGAGAAAAAATTAAATGATATTCTGATGTATTGTAGCCATCCAATTACCTAGGAAGAGAAACCGATTTAGAGCACTTTTTTTTTTGGTTGAGGAAAGCTTTCTGCTTCCATTTCAGGTTTTGATACAATATATTACAGCAACTTACTCAGGGATTGGATTCGAATGCCTTCTTAGGGACTAAAGCGTGGTGAACTGGATAACCACACTACCTTAAAAAAGGAAGAAAATATTTCTTCAATTTTTATGGGTCATTATACTTTTTTGAGATCTTCATGGATCTTGCGTCATTATGTAACGAAGCTTTTCAATCAGCTTTATGGCTTATATAATTACTTTTTTTGCTTAAATTGGAAGTGAAACTTTAGTAAGCTTCTGGCAGAATATTTATGAGTTTCAGAGAGAGAAACATGTCGGCAAGCTTTAATGCCACTAACTCATTTGTTTCCTCCTGGAGTAAGTGATATCAATCGATTCTTAGTTCTCTACTCAGGTGAGCTGGCCAGGTAAAATCTAAAGGATATTCTGAATTTTTTTGAAGTTAAAGAAAATTGCAGTGGCACTCATCTCAAACTCGGGAAAATATATATCACTATGATTTTTCTGGAGTTCATTCATAACGTACATAGAAACTTACTTTAGCCATGGGTTGCCCTGTCCAAGTCCAATGCCTGTTATGTACATTTCTGTCTCCCTAGTTCAGGACTAGCCCTCATCAATTCAGGTAGGTTACTGTGGAATAAATTATTTGCGTGAGCAAGTTTCACAGCTTTATGCAAGAAACCGCTTAAGCTACGGATTATGCTGCAGTGTTGCTGAACAATCAAAGGTGAAAAGGGGACATTATCATCCTGACTTGCCCCGTTACCCATGAAAGCTAAAGGAGGCTCTTTAAATAGTGTCAATTTAACGAAACGTTTAAGCTAAAGGGGTCATTATCCTGACTTACCCCGTTACGCATGAAACCGCTTAAACAACGGATTATGCTGCAGTACTGCTGAACAATCTAATGTATGACAATGGTTGTTCACTATTCAGGAAAGCATATCAACGGTGACATTCATCACTTTGAAATTTGTTGTACAATATCCTAGATGTTAGCAGTATGTCAAATGTTTACAGCAGAAAAATCAAGCCGGTTTATTCCATATGAAGCAGATTTCAACGAAACATTTAAGAGATGCGAGAACCTTCATTAAAATCCTGGCAATATGAATCTGGAAGGATGAATTTCAAGCTTTTAGCGGGAACATATGAGCAGATTAAACATCACCATCAAATTTAAGCCAGCTATATGTAAATGCAGAAAGAATGTGAAACAGTGAATTCCCCCTCGGGCAGAGACAAACCGCTTTTAACATTTTTGTCATTTGGTAAGATGATTCATCCGTACACCAGTAATAAAGTAGTAGCCTCGCAAAAGATAGAAACATTAGGGATGATGCAACATCTGAACTACCATCTGAAATTACCCAAGGCATGAAGGTGATTCGTTAGGCTGA